CTATGATTCTATGATTCTAAACTTGCTTTTTGCCTCAGTCTGCAACGCAGCAGTAACGGTTTCATCAGGCAGGAGACCGGTAGCCTCCCCAGGCACCACCTGAGGCTTCAGTAAGAACCACTGGGAGATGGAAAGTCTAAAGAGAAACTCCAGAATACATGAGAGAGGGAGAAACGTGAGGAGTATGGATAAGGATAGAGCAAAGCGAATAGAAACCATGTGTTTTGAGCCCCAGAGTAGAAGCTGCAGTTCTGAAGGAGTTTTGGATTCCAGCGGATCCATCAAGCAGTGCTCACCTTGGAAGTACAGATACTGGCCTCTCCTCCACAAGAGCATCAGGGATACAACTTGTTAATAGGCCTGATCAGGAGATGGCAAGTTATGCTCAGGTACTGCCTCCCAGCAAGATTACCCAAGAGACTGTTCCCAGGCGCCTTTCCACACAGATCATCCTTTACAGATGTGGGAGAAGAGGCTGAGCGAATCCCAGCCACCACCTGAGGAGGATGAGCTGCAAGTGCCTGGAGCTCCGCGAGGGAGCAGCCCACGCCACGAGGCTGAGCTCCAGCCAGAGGAGCACCACCAGCATCGCCTGTAGAGCCCCTTACCGTGTGAGGGTTGTCGTAGTAGACACCGATGGAGCAGAGCTTCGAGGAAATGCTGCAGCCGTCCGTGAAGAGCTGCCCCGACTCGCCGTACGGCCCCACGCGGAACTTGTAGGCCAGTGTGATGCTGCCGACGGGTGGGGAGCCGGCGCTCACGACCACCTCCGTGAAGAGCCCCGAGTAGACGGCGAAACCRAAGACCGTCAGCAACAGCAGCACAACGAGCGCCCCGATCATGCCCAGGAGCACCCAGTCCGTCATGATGCCTGGAGCTTCCAACGCTGCTCGCAGCCTGTTGGCAAGAAAAGAGAACAAAAGAAAAAGAAAAAAAAAAAGGAAGATGAGTTAAGCTAGTCCTTGGAGAAAGTGGTCATTCTCTAAAGTTATTTTTTTTCCTATCAAAAAACAGCCACTTACAATTCCTCTTCCTTATGCACAAAGGAGCTTTAAAAGCACCTGAGCCCCCTGCCCCATAACCCATCCCAGATTAACTCTGCAAATTAATCCCATGTTGCCTTAGCTTGTTCCAACTCGGTCGCCAAGAACAAATTATGTTGCTTTGATATCTCTTGGGAATTAAGTGGTTAAAGAAATGGGGACAGGAGGGCAGGGTCTTCATCTCCCTAAAAAAACAGCCGAACTGCCCACATTCACCATTCAAGAGAGCCTGAAAACTAATCAAGAAGCCCGTACCACTGAGCCTATCATAAATATATACACTGGGCTAAAGATTATACAACTATAAACTAATTTGTCATTTATACATAGCAGTTCCTACATTTGACCCAGGCAGCTCTCCCGGCAAAAGTTTTGAGCTGGAGTCCCACTCTCTAAGGAGCTAAACTAGAACTAAGATGCTCTTGAGRCAAGCCTTGCACATCTACAACTAAACACACTAAGAGTCTCAGAAGCAGCAGCTAAAAGCCCAGCTGGAAAAAAAAATGCATCTCCAACACACTAAGGTGCAACAAACTACTAATATTTATTTTAGATTAATTCATTAATGTGCAAAAGTTTTTAAAAACCCAGTTCAGATTGGCTGTCTGTTTGATTTTTGCTAACTGCACAAATATACACCAGCYTGGGGAACGTCCCTTGACAGTTTTCATTCCCCAAGCACAACTGCTTTGGGGGATTTCAGTCAAACACAGAAAAGGAAAGTTGTTTATATTTTCTTCTCCGTCGAGACATCGTTCTGATGAAGCAGATCGTTTGGGAAAGTCTTTGGGGATGTCTAACAGGAGCCTAGGTTTGAGATCTGGATTTTAAAATAAACAATTCATCTTCGACTCTATTTTATAAACATGCTTCCTCTGGACAAAAGAAAAAGTTTATATATAAATATATATATATATTTATAAATAAGTTTAGATGAATATAATTTATATTTATAATATAATAATTTATAAAAATATTTGTAGATATATTTATAAATAATTTTTAATATAAATATATAAAAAAGGGTTTTTACCTCAGCTACTGCTTGTTCAGGCTTATAAAGAGCAAAAAGCCACATCCTGGTAGGAACTCCATGGAGTTCAGCTCCTGTTCCTACGCAAGGCAAGTGTGAAGGGCTGGAAGGGACCCCTCWAGATGAGCCAGTGCAGCGGCCCTGCTCAGGCAGGGTCACCTAGAGCACGACACCCAGGACGCTGTCCAGGGGGTTTTGAATATTCCCAAGGACGGCAACTCCACAGCCTCTCAGGGCAACGCGGACAGTAAACTCAAACAGGCAAAGCCAGTGTCCTCAGCTGCTGCCCTCCGCCTCAGCATCGGGGACAGGCTGATTAGTCTGCACCACACAGCTACTCACCCGGAAAACCAGAGATGCTCAGCCTAGAAAAGGCTCATGATCCCTTCCTGACGCAGAAGCCGGATCCGCGTCTCTGCAACAAGAGAAAACAAACAGCATTACTTCCTTTTAAAGCCACACAGCCAAAAGCAAAAAATCTCTTCCAGAAACAAAGCCACATCAAACCATCTGGAAGGTCTTTAGTGGCGCTAGGAATGGGCTCAAGGAGCTGCTCCCCGAAAGGCAGCGATCACGAAAAGCCACAATACAAAGTTTTACGAGAAGGCAACGATTTCCCACCACCAAGACCAAAGGAAGCCCCAAGGCAGCAGGACGCCTGGAAGGAGGCAGCTCCGCGCACCGGCACCTGCTCCGCGTCCCGCTCCCGGCCTTCCCCGCTCAGCCTTGGCTCCTCCCCACAGGGACTCCCGAACAACACGGCCTCCACTGGCAGCCCCCTCTGCTCAGCCTGGCGCGAGCGGCTGCGCTCACCCCCCTTCCCGCAGGAACCATGGAGCGAGGTCTCAAGCTTTCAATTATTTACCCACCCCGGTATTTTCTTTTTATAACCTATCGAACCAGTGAACTTGAGAACGTCAAGGGCTGCGGGTTGCCAAGGCCGGGCRCGCCGCCTCAGCCGCGGCCGCGCGCGGGCTCTGACCACCCGCGGCACACGCCAGCGGCCACGGGCTCCRAGGGGGCACAGTCCCTTTCCGAGCTGGAAGGCGCACAGGGAGCGGAGGGATCTCTTAGCTGATGGCTAGGCCTCCCTCTCCATGGGGCACATTTCCCAAGGAGAGAGRGGCATTTTGGATCACAGGAAGCATTTGACTCAAATGGATCACGCGAAGCCAACATTTCATGCCATCCAGGCATGAAAGCGTTGCTCCCGGCCCCGGGGACTTTATTTATTCYGTTCTGCCCCAAACCTGCTCAATCTCATCTCAGAAGCGAGACCACACGGTTGCCATCAGCGCCGTGCACCCAGCTGCYGCTCAGGCGGCAGCAGCCACGCGCAGCCCCCGCGGCGGGGAGAACGGAACCGGCGTCTTTTCTTCTCAGCAAGAGGCAAAATGACCGACACCAGGCAGCGGCCGCGGGCGCCCGGCCCCGCCGGGGCTTCCTGCTTCCCGGCAGCGGAGCTGGAGCCGAGCTCGGCCCCCGCGGCCTCCCCTTCCGCGCCTTGCAGCGCCCGCCGCCCAGCCGGGCAGCGCGGGGCGCTCGCCCACCAACTCCAGGTGCGGAGCCGCCGAAGCCTCTGGCCCGGGCGGGAATTCGGTGCCGGAGCCAGGGACAGCCTCGTCCCCGGCTCCCTCCGCCGCAGCTGCCACAGCGCGGGAGCGTCACCGGGGCCCACGTCCCGCCCTTGCCTCCCCAGGGAGCCCATCTTCA